ATGGGGGAGGAAATAAAAGGGAGCAGGAAAGGGCTTACTACTAGAGACAAACCGACACAAGAAAAGAAGAGTGACATACTGTGGCTCTGAGAGGTCCATGTCCGAGACAGCTGGCACCACATTCATCAGAGGGATATAAGCTGGCCTGACAGAAGAGCGCCCCCTCTGGATAACCTCTTGAACATACCTAGAGAACAATCTCACAGATTAGAATGCACTCTAGCTCCATGACTTACTACACCCACAGAAATCTCACACCCAGGGTTCAGAGGTAATACGTTCTCTAGAAAGCTGCCCATAGCAACCAATAAGCAAACAAAACCGCCATCTATTTGCAGCACAGGCTTAGGCACAACCCGCATGGCTCATATTCTCTGAAGAAACACTTTTGCTTAAGAGCTAAAGTGTAAGTGATGTGTATTGCATCACTTCAGCATTCACCTGTCAGTCATCTGGCTGCTATAGCCAGAGAAAAGAAGCTGATGAAGCAGATCTTAAATGGCTTCTCTTCATTTAAGTAAAAAAGCCCAGTACCTTTATGTGTCTCCCGTCCCTCCCACACTTAGCTGTGTCACCTCTGTCACTGCCGCCGGTCCACAAAGCGATCCTCCGTTCCCCAAACTTCCTGATTGGGGGGTAGGATACTGAGGGCAGAGGAGCAATAGGCTCCTTCTGCCGTCAACCTGTTGGGAGGAGAGGAGGGGCGTGGCCTGCCGCAGGACTGTGTGTGTGTGTCTATGGACACGCACAGCTTTTGTGGGCATGGCTGGGAACAAGCATGCATGGGTGCCTCCACAGCAGCCGCTTAGCTGATTGAGACGCCCATGCAGGGGGCGGAAGGGAGAGCAATGCAAGGATCCACTAGAAAACGAGGAACTGAACTTTAAGGAAAAACAAAAGAGTATTTATAAAAAGGTGGGCCTCCTAAGTGTAAAAATTAAAAAAAGCCTTCATATCACTTTAGTGCCATTTTCTACCAGAGTCCTCAACTGGAGGAAGGAATCCTGAACAGAAGCCACAACAAAACTTTTCAACTGTACAGCAATAGTACAGGTCATATTATATTACTAGTTAGGGGCAAAAGGGATCCTTTAAAAGATGATAAAGGCACCTCGGCCACTTTGAAACTCATTCTACATTTAAAGCCAAGCCAATGTAATCATTGTTTTAAAATAAATAGTGAAAGACAACAATGAAAACTTGGTATGTAGCAAGAAACGGCCAAACTGCCCATTCAGGATATAAGGACAGTGTCTCCTGATAGGGCCCCCAGTGCAACAAGGTATACTTGTGCTCAGAGCTACCTCACCGCCTGCCCTGCTGGGTAAGTGCTCTTGTGTCTAATGTCACTGCACCCCCACTCACATGACAGTGTTTGGGCCTTGTAAATGGCTGCACAGGCGCAAGAACAGTCATAGCGGGAAGGTCACATGATCTCCCGTATCTAGAATCCCAGGTCCATTACAGCAGCAGAACAAGGGCTCAGATAAGTGTATGGGTAAGTGGCAGCGTCTCCAAAGCGGTGCCCTTGTGCAATGTTCTACCATTATCATTACAGTTTTATAGAGAGTCCAAAAGTTCCACCCACTAATTAGATACAAGACTACATGATGTTCAAATGCAATGCGTCACATATACCCAACGAAAAAAACTAGGGATGCACCGATATCGTTTTTTTGGTATCGAGTATGAGTACTGATATTTTGCTTTCGGTACTCGCCGATACCGAATACTGATGCTTCCACTGGCATGGAGCCGGCTTCCCAGGCAATCAGTAAGCCGGGTGGCAGGAAATTACATGCAGCCCGGCTTCCTGATTGGCTTGAAAGCCGGCTTCCCGATTGGCTGGGAAGCCGGCTTTCCAGCCAATCAGCAAGGAGCGGGCTTCCCGGCAAATCAGGTCATTACTCGCCATCCCGATTCCTGATTGCACGGTAAGCTGGCTCCATGTCCCCTTACGGCACTGCCGGTCAAAGAAAATCTCTTATATATATCTCTTATTAGTGCGATCAGTGGTGGTGCGCAATTCAGTGACTATACGGCAATCCTGCAAGTGTGAACCTGGCCTTTAAAGAAAGTAAAAACTTCTATTTTATTTTATGAGGGAGAGGAATACTTCACAATTGCTGATCATTTAAGGCTGAACTCAAGCCTTACCCTTTATTCCCCCCACACTTGAAGCAATTATTTTCCTGTGTTGAACCTAGTGATGGATCGGAGCCTGACAAAAAATGTTTGGACAGTGTGGGGAAGGGTTATGCTACACCCCTGCCAGGTTTTCATAGTGGTCCGAGTCCCTGTCTGGAAGATTTACATTTAACTACTGTCCTGATGGGGCAGGAAGTGGTGTGGAATCCTCACGGGGACAGGAAGTGATTTGTAAATGCTCTTCCAGGGACAGGAAGTGATGTGAAACGTTCACAGGAACAGGAAGTGATGTGAAAACTCTCCCACAGGGACAAACGCACACATTTTTAGAAGTGTGGTGAAATATTAGAACCACTGTAAGTGTGTATTCCTGCTCTGTGAACAACTAATGCCCAACGAGACACACCAAATCGTATCATACCTTTGCTTCACTTGCATTTTTCCTGCTTTCTTCTCCTCCTCTTCTAGCCTCCTGCGTGCTTCTTCCAGCTGTGTTAGCGGATTGGGGGCAGGGTTGGGTGGCATGGTGGGATCTTGCACAAAAGGATGAGAGGGCTGAACCACGTTGCGTAGTTGGGCAGTGACCCACGGGTGGACGGCACCCGGCCGCTCGATGGACAGTGGTCTAGGCACATCATGACCAGGCTGCTTCTTGGCACCCGATGAGCTGCGGATGTGAACACAGAGCATTATAGCAAGCCATAAGTTATGAACAGACAAACTTTCTGGGCCTCATTTAACTGTACTTTTTCCAAAATCCTGTTTAATCATTTTTTTTTTAGAGCATTCCACTTTAACTTTGCACTTGCATTTAATTGCAAATTTTCATTTTAATTAATTTGCAGCTGAACTGCAATGTTTAACATTAACCAGCTTTAACTGTAACCTGTGTATATTCTCATCTTGACCAAGCTTGATCTCCGAAAATACATTTCCCCATGGTGCACCTTTTCTTCCCCTTCACACAATACTGTGCCACATTCATTCCCAACCAATGGGGGCAGAGATATTTGCAGGTAACTGGCAGAACTACCAGCAGCTTCCCTTGCCCCTGCTTTCCTCTCTTACGTGTGCAGAAGCAACAAGGCCGGGATGCTGGGGATGTGTGTACAGGAGGGAGCTAAGCTGCTGCTGACAGGGGATGTGTGTGCATTGGGGCAGTATGCTGCAGGGGATCTGAAAAGCTAGGAATGTGTGTGCAATGGGGTGATATGCTGCAGAGCTGCTTATCTTCTGTCATTCTGAGTTATATGCTGATGTTGCAGGCACTTTAACCGATCTGGCTAACACATGCCCAAAACAGTAACATGCTGCTTGCAAGGGTGGATGGATGATGTAGTACAGTCCACATCTGTGTATTTTAGAGGTGTGATTAGCTTTGTGCCTGGAGTTTCACTTTAAAGCAAGACCCCCCCCATTGCCCCCTAACAGACGGAAACATTATTTTAGGACTTCTGAGAGAGTTATGAAGACAATTCAGCTTCTGTCTATCCGGCTAGTGAGATCAATGTAGCACGATACAGATGCCGGTTCTCACCTATGGACGGATTTTTTATGTCTGGTTATCTCCTTCTCTCCTTCCATTATCCACTGCATGATTTTCTGGTTTCTCTCTGCGTCCTCCAGCACAACTGGCGTTTCATAGTTGGCACTTTCAAGCTTCCCGGAATCCACTTTCTTAGCGTTCCTTTTGGCAAGCATACTTACTTTTCCACTGTGATGGAGCAGGAGGGAAGAAAAAAAAACAAAAAAGTTTAGCAACGAAGTCAGATTAATATTATCCCCGCCAGAAAACTGCAACAGGACAGTTCTAAAAAACAAGGGCATGCAGTGTTTATGTCAGCTTTAGGCAGTCTGCATCTAGGGCCCATGACTAAAAAAAAAAAGGTTAGCGATACCAAGCGTGTAATGGTGAATGGCAGATGTCACCTTTTTCAATTATTTCCAACACAGGGAGCACATGAAAACTCCATGCAGATAGATGGCAATTGAACTGAGGACCCCAGTGAAGCAAGACTGAAGCAAGTGCTGCCCGTGTTAACTTGCTGCTTCATTTAGTTAAAACTGAACCTGTAACTTTATAACTCATTTGCTGCTTGTTAATATTTAAATGCCCAATGTCAGACCACAATTACACTTGCAATACAAATTAATGTTGATTAGCATCTCATGTACTGTCCACAGTGCTAATCATGTGTTACAGTACTGGTCCTGTACGGTTCCTATCTGAAGAATGGGGAAAGGTTACAGTCCAGATTTTTGGCTTGGCTACCAAGTGACTTAGGCTAGTTGGCTATGTGGATAAAAGAAGCTTTAAAAATAGCCACTTGTACTAAAAGTATATTTGAACTATTCCAAGCTATATTTCATAGACAATCAAACGCCACGTGAAGGCAGTTGCCGAATGGTCAAGAACACAAAACAAAAGAAAGATGGTCCTTTACTACTTCACTCTGCGTAATATAGAATGTATACCTGAACTGCGTGAAAAGAAAACATTGCGTACCTGTAGCCCAGGGAATCCATAGGATTAGGGGCCATTCCCATGCTCTCTGCATAATTGCGGGATTTGGTTGCATAGTTATGTGGGTCTGCATTCCATGGGAAGTTGCTCTGCACTCTTTGTGAGGCCTCAGCCTCTATTTGTTCTTTAGGTTTCACACCGCCATGGTGGTGAACGTGGTGATAAACATGCTTGTGATGGTACAGGTTAGATGCCTCAAGTTTGGAACTACTTTTGCCCGAATGCTTGCCTTGACCAGACTGCATTGTTCCCATAGATACAGGAAGGCCTTTGCCCAAGTGGCCATCCGGAGAGCGCGGTTTCGGGGAATGTCGCCCAGGGCCCGGAGACTGGCAGCCTGGGGTTTTCATGACGCGTTGCACGTGTTCATCCAGGATGGACTCCGGGTTTTCTTCATGGGCGTCTCTGATCGGCATCCCGACACTGCCCATGTCGGCGTAGCGCGAGCCAAAATGATGCATGGGCTGGCTTGAAGGCAACTTGTGGCTAACCATGGAAGGTGCAGATGAGACATCGGCATCATCACCTTCTTCTTCCTTTGGAACAAAGAGAAAGGAGTTACTCTTTGCTTACACTAATCCTGCGTCAATAAAAAGGCTCCACTCAACCATTTTTCATCCTGACGTTCAATTTGTGCAGCTGCACCAGCACCTATGCTTGCCAAAGACAGGCCAAGTCTTCCCTGGTTCAAAGCACCATCATTTAAAGCTGTAGACCAGGGATAGGCAACCAGGACACTCCAGTACTCAAACAACAAGTCCCATGAGGCATTGCAAGACAGTCAGAGGCAGATGGGATTTCCAGTTTCAGTACAATTGGATCGCCAAGAGTGTCTACCCCTGCTCTAAAACCATTGAGTTTAAACATCACAGAAACGTGGAGAGTTAGCAGTCCTATCCCAAAACACTGAAAATCCTGCTGAATGTGGCAGCAACAGTGTAAATCGAAGTAGCAGCTTTTTTGGTAGGTATTTATTTCTATAGAGGACTGGGTTGGGGATCAAAAGTAGGTTTGACCTTGCAGTGTGAAATGGGATATATGAAGTGAAGTGCAGCGATTCAGATTAGACCGCTCCTATTCACAAAGAATCCTCTAGAACAGTGGTTCCCAACCTGTGTTACCTCAGGACCCACAGACTCAAGTTGCACTGCAATAGAAAGCAAGGCAGTGTTGGAGCTCCATCCATATGTGCATTGTTTGTACAGCTCCCATGCGCGCCGATAGAGTTGCCGGGAGCAAGAATGTGATGTCACTCCAGTCCAGGCACCTTTATGGGACATGCAAGGGAGCTATAAGCAATGCCCTTATGGATGGAGCTCCCTCGCGGCCATACCCTTAGCCCACCCCACCTCAAGTCAACACTTAGCGCCGGGCAGCATATTTTGAATGGCTGCTCGGTGTAAGAATGGACGGTGCTGCGCTAGGGGGAGGCTGAGGAGCCCCTCACCCAAAAAAGTGGACCACTGAACACGGGGTCGCGACCCACAAGTTGAGAACCAAGGCTCTAGAAGGTAAACTGGACAAAAGGAGAGAAAGAACACCATACCGATAGCTGAAAATGTGCAGCAAAAAGCAGCTACCTAGCTTTAAAACTGTTAACCCTTTGAGTTATTCATTCCAGTTCTCATCAGTACATTAAGCCGTGGCTCATCGTCTCTTGTTCAATCAGAGGACACCTAACACTCATTCATAAAAAATACTAAGCATTCGCTGAAAAGCCGCTGTGCCAAGCACACTGTTTTGTAACAGCAGAAGTGGAGTTTAGGGCTGAAACTAACAATTATTTTTATAAACTAGGCCTGGGGAAATTAATGATTAATTCCTCGATTAATCATTAAACTTTTTGATCGATTAAAATTATTTTGATCGAAAATGAAAACTCACCTACCCGCCGGCTTCCGGGAGTCCCGTCGGAGATCCGGTGACGTCACGGACATCAGCGTCACCAGACTCCTCCCCCCTTCCCCAAGTGGCTCCGTCGGCTAACAAAGGGAAGGGGGAGGAGTCCGGTAACGTCGATGTCCGTGATGTCACCGGACTCCTCCCCCCTT